AGATTACTTAAATGGCTGATGAATTATGCATTTTATTCAGTCATTTGTTATGTAGATGTTTGGGATTTACTTGTCCATAATTGGCATTGCTTTATGAATGGCACAGTATCAATAAAAAATGAATTGTATGATGAGACCTGTTTATGGCATGCAGTTGGCACATCAGCATTTCTGATTTGCATGTAAACAGTTTAGTTAGTAATTGCACAATCAGTCAGATTTCTTTCATTTAGAAGCATATGTTAATGTTATGCCTTAATAGTGATAGATTTGTTATAATTATAGTGGACACAGATAATGGTCTTGGTTGTATGTCATTATAAAAGGGTTTCTGGATTTAAGAAGACACTCCCTGGTTTGCTAAAGGATTAAGTTCCTGATGGCATTCTTAATCCTGATGTGTTTTATACTAGTAATTTTCAGTTCTTTTTATCAGTATTTATAGCAAAAAAAAAAAAAAAAAAAAAAAAAAAAAAAAACATTGAGTATCCTTAACTAAGTAGTATAACCAAGTATTCTAATTTGCTTAACCACAGCCACTAATTTCATTACCATTTCAGACATGCTTTTCACCCTTATTATAATGAATATTACCATTACTAACATTACAGTGCTAACTTGTCCTGCATTGTTATTTTATTCACAGATAATGCTGTTAATGTCTTTATTCTTATGATTATCTTTTCTAACATTACAGTTCTAACTTCTTCATTGCTATTATAAGTGTTAATCTAACTAAATTGATTAACCAGTATCTTTTATAGATCATATATGTTCTATGTTGTTAATTTAGTGATGCTCATTGTATTACTGCTTCTTGATACAAAAGATAATTTAACTTTAGCTCTTGATATAAATTTTACAGGAATTATTGGTGACTAAAAATATGTGATAGTTATTGTGCTCAGTCATTACTTCCCTAAACAATTTATAACAATATGTTTCCTATTTATTGTTCCTTTTTTCCACATGAATAAAATGTTAAATGAAGTCTCCTTTCCCAGCCATGGATGCCAGGGAGGCTCGGAGGCAGACGGCTGCGACAGTGGTGATCTTGGTGGTGCTGACTCTCGAACGCCTTGCCTACTATGCGCTGGCAACCAACTTCTTTCTTTTCTTGAATAAGGTTTGTTTACATCGTAGAAAATGTATGAATGAGAATGAATATCTTCACAATACAAGAGATGTATTCAACCCTTTTTGAATATATCTTCTTCAGAAATACTGTATTTCTGATGAAGATAAATTTGAAACTGGTTGAATACATCTCTTCTATTGTAAAGATATTCATTCTCATTTATGCCTTTTCTACATTTGTCAACTTGAATATATTTGTTTCTGTCTTGTGTTTTAACAGATACTCATTCATCTTATTATTTACTTGTTTGGTTCTAATGATTTTCTAAATTTTCTTTTGTTTTCAGACTATTTTACAAAACCTCATGGAGTGCTTTTGTTTCGGAAATAATATTTTTTGTTGCTTGAATATCAATCTGTTTTCCATGTTCTCATGCATATTGTGTATCTTTAAAATCAAAGACAATCACTTAATATTTTTTGTTGATATCTTTCTTAATAATTTTTGGACTTATTATTATTATTTTTTAAAGAATTAAGAAGGGAAGTATTAAGCTTATCAAATCTTAACCTGTAATGTAGAGGAAATAATTGTATTTTATATTCCTGCATGCATTTGGTATTTATTGTATTTTTTTCTGTATTCATAAATGTGACTTGACTTTATTACTATGTTCCAGGGGCCATGGGATGGACAGGCATGGGACTCCCTGGATGCCATGAATGCAGTGTTCATCCTGGCTGGTGTCTCCTATGTGTCTGCTCTTCTAGGAGGGTAATTATCTAGAATGGAACTTGTATGATTAGAATTATGTCACATTTAAAGTGATTTTCAAGGAGTTTTCTTGTGAGGTACTTCAAACTTTCTGACACAAATTTTTTTTCTGGTATACAGTAGGAATTTATGGAGCCAGTTATAAAAACAGACTATATAGAATTCTTGATAAATCACTTGTCTCTCAGTTTCTATACTGAACTGTAGAAAACTAAATCTACTAACTTATTCTTCTTTAAAATTATTGTTTTGGTATGTGATAATTTCATGGATTTTTTTCCCTCTTCCAGGTATATCTCAGATGCAAAATTTGGACGCTTTAAAACAATGGTAATGGGATTCCTTTTGTACATCAGTGGGTACATCCTCCTCACCCTGATGGCTGTGGACAGGTTACCACGCACAGTATGCTTCAGTGACAAGGGATGGGGTAAGATTTTAGGTCTTTCTTGTCTTCACCTAAAGGTTTCTCTTTGCCCAAGTACTTATTACTATTACAGGAAGACAAGGTTTTCCCATTACATTTAGGCATGTTATGTTCTTGCAGTTTATAGCATTTGACAGAAAGTTTGTGAAAGATTGTTAATATTTCATGTTCATTGAAATTTTTGTCACATAGTCATTAGCTGTCTCGCATAATCATATGTAATAAAAAACTGTACATTCATGTATCACTAGATTATATGCAATCAGTGTATTGAACTGATTTACAGGTATTAAAGGGGATTAAATTGATGTTAGTAGAAATCTGAGTAAAATCAAATAATTTCAGATGTAATGCATCCCATACCAAGTCACAAAAAATGTATTTAACCCATTGATGCCAGGATATACATGCCATATCAATTGGAATTTTGAATTATTAACCCCTTGCCCTAGGGTGGCATGTACATACATACCATGGCTCTTGTGGACAGAAAAACAGATGGCATTGTATTACGACCATTCCCAAACTGTTGGATCATGGGACAGTTTGATTTTCTCTGATAATAGCGGCTTTATTTATATAGTAAAGCTTTTAGGAAATAGCACCTAAAGTGAAGGTAACCCTTCAAATTTTTAATATTTTAAAAGATTATAGCAAATAAAAGCTTTGAGGTACCGAATGTTGCTCGCAAACTACCAAATGAGCAGGGCACAAACAGGGAAACTGCCGATGCTTGCCAACAATCCTGTGATCATGTCCACTTGCCAAACTTTTTTACCCGGGGTGAATGGGTTAATTTTGTTTACAGATGTACGAGTCCAGTTAAAAAAAAAAATATATATTTTCCTCTTATTCAAATTTTATTCTTTCTCATTATGATGACCATAATGTCAGCAATAATGATAATAATACACACCGGATATGACATTGAGTCTACAGCACCATCATAATACATATGTTTCTCCTTACAGGTGACTCTGGAGATAATGCCAATGCTCCCTGCAAAGCTGCAGTATACATATCTGTCACTATCGTTGGTTTAGGTGTTGGCATTGTTAAGAGCAACATTGCACCCTTTGGTGCAGAGCAGGTTGGTCCATGTTTTTAATAAATGAAATAAAGTAAAAAATAAAGTAATATGACATATGAATGTATAATTCCTTTGTGTTTATTTACAAACACTTGTCCCCCACAGCTGAGAACTGCAAATCCACAAAAAACAAGGTCGTTTTTCAACTGGTTTTACTGGTGCATCAACTTGGGTAGTTTGGTGGGTGTTGGAGTCATCACCTACATTGAGCAGGACAGCCCAGGCATATGCACTAATGGTTTCTTCTGTGGATATCTCATTGCAACGAGTGAGTTTTGAAATTCATTCGCAGGTTTAGGGTTAATGTTTTTAGTATTGTTTAGTATTTATTAGCTCGTAAATTTTATTTGTTAGTTGTTGGTATATTTACATAGTTATGTTTTTTTTTCTATTCTTTTTGCAGTATGCCTTGTTGTGGCATTGATTTTGTTCATTGTTCTGCTGCCTTGCTATCACATTGTACCCCCTGAGGGGAGTGTTCTCGGAAACATCCTCAAGATCATCTGGGAGTCACTGTGTGCTCAGGTTCGGCATTGGAGGAACAGACATCGCAATCCTGTAACAAGGCAAGTTCTTGGTTCCCTGTTTCGGTGTTTTTAGTATTTGTTCCCTTTTTTAGATCAGCTTTGATTTACTTTTTTTCTCTTTTAATAAGGATTAAAGAGAAATGAAACTCTATGATTTTGGCAAATATAACTGTTTCAAGATATCAAGTGACAAATTCACTTGTAAGGAGTTTGTGTATTTTCAAGATTTTTGAAAGTCTTGTATTGTATTTATTTCAAAATTGAAGGTGCTTTTATTGTCGCACTTCTCTGTAGCCCTCTTCAGCTGGAACCCAGATTCCTTGATCGTGCGAAGATCCGTTTTGGTGGTTCGTTCCATGAGTCTGCTGTAGATGACGTCCGCTCTCTGGGGAAACTTTTGAATGTTTTCACCGCCCTAATTCCGTACTGGCTTGTTTACTTCCAGGTAAGGGAGAGAGAGTTTCCTTTGGGGGAAAACTTTTCATTGTATATATATATATATATTTTTTGTGTGTGTGTGTGTGGGGGGGGTGCGTGCGTGCGTGCGTGTCTGTGTGTGTTTTGTCATTTATTTTATAGATATACATAAAAGATCTATATCATTCATTAAGCCAATTACCAATATGTCTTTTTTTTTTTCTTTTAAGTAAGTAACTGAAGTAATGTATGAAATTATTTCTTTTATCAATTTTTCTTTAAGATGATGTTACTTAGAAAACCCGTATGATGATGTCTGTTTTATTGAAAGTAAATAGTCTAATAAATATAGTTAATAATAAATACTTTTCTTATTTACTTTTTTGAACATTTTATAAAATTTGGAGAAAAAGAAATTAATGCTTCCATTTCTTCCAACATTTCATATTCTTTATAGAGTTTACTTGCAATTTCCTGTAAATAGTGATAATCTAATAATGATAATCATATCATGATCGGTACAATGCCACATAGTAGAAGTGACACATGCAGTAGAATGCAAAAGGGATTAGAAACAAGTGTAAAGATGTTATTTGTACCTTCTGTGGATTATGTAAGATTGATACACTTTAAAGAGTTTTATCATAGACATAATTACCCAGTATTTTCAGCAATGGATGATATATAAATATTGTTCTATTTTTCATTTTTACAGATGGAAACTAGCTTTCAAGCCCAGGGCCTTCACATGCGCTTCTCTATCTTCGGTGTCAACAGTAGCAACGAGTCTGCAGTGGAAGAAGAGCTTCAGATGGAGAGGGCAAGATTCAGTGTATGTAACCATTCTTGTTTCTTGTATCAGCTGATGGTTCTAAGGCCTGTTAGAAGTGTCCATTGGGTTATATGACACAAGGATATCAGACCAGTGGGGACTTGTTTTGTTTTTATATATAGATTTACAATATGTAAAGCCTGAATATATTTGTTGATGATAGATGTAGTTGTTGAATGATTCTGGCGGATTATTTTATAAGTGAATTTATGTGGTAACAATAGGCTAACTTTGCGTTCGTGTTCAGTGTATGAGAGAGAACACCACTCCGTGCGGTGCTGCAGTGTACACAATTCTATTGTGCGGTAGTGTGCGTGCTGTGCGGTGTGCGTGTGTGGCGTAGTGTTGCGTGTCTGCTGCGTAGTTGGCTGAGTGCTTCGTGAGTGTCGTGGAGTGTGTGAGTGTGTTGCAGTGTGTGACGTGCTGTTGAGTGTGTGTAGTGTGTGTCATACAATCACCTGCTACTAACATAATTAACACAAGTGTATAGATATTTATGCTGATCTCATCGAAACTATGTGTGTGTGCTGTTGTGTGTTGTGTCGTTGAATTCATCAAGCATTACATCTATTAAAAGTTGTGGTGTGTGTGTGGTGTGTGGGTGTGTCGTGTGGTGTTGTGTGTTGTGTCGTGTGTGCTGCTGCCATGGCCGTGTCGTATGTAGTGTGTAAGTTGTTGGTGTGTAGTGGTGTGTCTGTGTCTTGTGATGTTGTGTGTGTGTTGTGTGTGTGTGTGTGTGTCGTGTGTAGTTGTGGTGTGTGGCGCTTGATACTTATTATGAAAGTTATCTCATAAGACGAAACGTGTGTGAGAGTGTGTGGTGCTGTGTGTGTGTCGTTGTGTGTGATGTTGGTGTGTGCTGTGTGTGTCGTGTGTGTGTGTTCCTGAATGTCACAAACTACAGGTCAAAAAAAGACTAGTATCAATGTGTGTCGTGTTGTGTTCCGTAGCTGTGCTTAGTGCTCCTAGTGCACGCAAGCACTCATAACTGAGAACGACGATGATTTGCCCGTCACTAGCGGCAACCTCGCTTTCACAATGCTTCATTGGTGCGTAGCAGTCCTTACCACAACCAATATCGAGTGCGTGCTTCGGTTGCTCCTTATGTGCAATCTGACACATTTACGCGTATCATATCCTATCACCTGAGCCAACTTACTAGTTACTCCGGACCGACTCGCAAACTTAAGTATCCACATTTTGTCCTACTGCTGTAACCTAAATATTCAGAGCTGTGAGCGGTGCCATCCAACAAATCAAGTTATTCCTCGAACCCCTACTTCGCGACGTTTGTCACCACAAGTCCGTATTGTGCACCATCACAGGTGACAGCCAAATGCAAGTTCACAAACTCCTAGTTTGCTCAGCGCCTATCATCATGTACAAGTAGCAACATCTACATCTCTGAATATGCCACAACTAACACACTTATCAAACTTAGTCGCTCCACCTATCCACCAGTATGGTAACTACCTAGTCGTTCGTCATTATCGCTACTCAAAGTATTCCAATAGTGACTGCACTCAGTAAACATATCATTCACATATACTTCGTACTTCGACGCTTATCCATTATCGGCGTCTTTAGCCTTGATTCCTATCGTAACGACTAGCACTCAGCTCATCTTACAACATATGTGATGCCGTGTTCTGTCTTTATGAAGAACAATGTGCTTCCCGTCAGTGTGTGTCGTTTGTGTGTGTAACTGTGTGAGTGTAGTGTGTGTGTGTGTCCTCGTGTACTACCTTGGTTGTGTACGTTGTATGCTGCTGCGTATGTACATGTGTGTGACTGTGTGTGCGTGTGCACACTGCATCACACTCGAACACCCCACACATCGTGCTGTGTTGGTAGCGTAACATCAACACAATGATCATATCTAATCGATTATCACAATCAATACTACATTTCCAATGTAAGAAGCAGAGTAAGAACGATTAGCACAAAATAATTTCAACACCGGCCATTATAATTACTCAAACGAGTCGATCGGTCAAGCGCGCATCCACGAGTGACACTTCCTGCAATTGGTACTAGCATTACACTGTCCGGCATGGGTCGGTTACAAGCTTTGTATGAAAGTTAATCAGCTGGAGTAGGAGGATGATAATTCTACTCAAAAGGAAGGAATTATGACTTTTTTACATGCCTTTGCAGATCCCAGCGGCTTGGCTCACACTCTTTAACCAGCTGTTCCTCATCGCAGCCATTCCAGTCCTTACCAGCTTCCTCTATCCTATCTTGGATAAGTCTGGCATCAGGGTGTCAATGCTATTTAGAATAGGTATGGGATTTGTATTCTGTTGTTCCTTGGGCCGTTGATCGTGGTGGGTCGTTCCAGAATATGTCTGATGT